AGCTACATTAAAGACTTTATACTTAAAATAATGCATGACTATTACAGATTTAAATAAAGACCAGCATTGTTGGAATACACAATGAAGATCTATAAGAATCAGTGACAGAATTCCTGCCTCATCAAACACCGCTGTACTGAATTCAGACTTCGTTTTCAGGTATCACTGGTAGATGACAGTAAACTGAGCACGCTAGGGCAAGTCAATCCTTCACCAGATACTAGTCTCGGTAACTTCTCACTGAGACGAATGTGACGAAATAGCAACTTGAAACTCAACAGCACTGGCCCAAGCGAGGGACTGGACATTAAGTAGCCCAAACCAGAGGGCTTTTGGTGTCAATGATCACTGAACGCATGTAACACCAGACAACATCCAGGTACCGTGGGACTTGTTTATGAAAACAACACTGGCTGTATCGCTGCAGAAAATGTGACCGTCATTCCCGCTGTGACATGTGACATTGAATTTAAACAAAAACACCTTTTTGATTTAGCAGTAACTTAAGAACAAAAACTGGGTGGTTGTTTACAACTTTTGCTTTCCAGCCCGTTTTCTTAAACAGTGTTTGTACGTCAGCAGATCCTGTGCAAGGTCGAGCAGCTTCGGCTTCGCTGTGGTGAATTGTGATGAATAGGTCTGATCTGAACTCCTCTGGAGAGGCTGCCATTGATGCAACTGAACTCAACCAATTCTCGTGTGTCTCATTAAACCACTTAAAGTGAAAATTGGTCTCCTACTATTATGAGAATCATTCAGCGGAGCTGCAGAAGCAGCGGAAAGGCAATGTTCAGAATTGAGAAAGCTTAGTAAATACTGTGCATACTATCAATTCTGCCTAATATATGTCCTACTATTTATATTTCAATATATTACATTTATATTTCAATAATCAGTTTGCATATGGTAGCAAGTAGTGCCCATTTATCATTTTTAAAAATAAAAAAAGTGGCTAGTTTGTAATGTTGTGTGTAAATAGGTCTTAACTGTCAGTAGTCTAGTCAAATAATGAGTGAATTAAATCACACTGGAAATAAAATGTGCATTCTGTCATAAAGTGTGTGCATATTGTGCTCTGCCAAAATGTGTAGGCTAGGCCTAGTCATTTAGCATGGCAAGCCAGACCTACATCAAGATGGTCTGGGAACTCACAATTGGCATACCTCAATCCGAGGGGCGGGATAAACGGTTGTCTTTCAATATCCCTCGGCACGCAATAGGATAGCGCTACAACCAACCAGAGCGAACGGCTGTGGCTGAGTGAGTCCCATGCGTTTTCCCACCAGCGGAGCTAGTTGATATATTAAACTTTTGCCGTATCCGATCGTCAAAACTCCGAACACATCTTCCTTTTTTAGGAATGACTTAAGTGACGTTCTCTTAACTCCAAGTCATCCAGAGTCGCGGCCAAAGCCGATTCAAAAGACCGCTGTTCGCCAGCAGCATCTTGTTTGTTTTCAAGCAGAGGGAAATCACCTATGGAAATCACGCGGAACCGTCATAACTCTGCCGTCATTATATTAAGGCCGTCCACCAACTCTACTCGATCTGATTGGCCGGACCAGTTTTTGGTTTTTCCAGCTCAAAAGTCAATGGAGAATTGCTAGACCACACTTTGCTGCAAGAATAATTTTTGCTGCCGCTAGGTCGCGTCTAGATTTCTAGGCTACTAGTCATTCCTTTCATACAGAAAATGTGAAAATTGTGCACAGTATACTGCAGAAAACAATAGCACACTGTAAAAAAAAGAAAAGAAAAATTATACAGTAAAAAAAAAAAAAAAACTGTTCATTGGTTTACAGTAAGTTCCCTTACTATATAATGGGAAACTGTAATCTAACCATAAACTTCATGTAATTACTCATTTGAAATACTAAATGTAATGGTTTTGGAAGTTGAATTATTTTTATAATAAACTGACATCCCCAGAATTGCCTGTGACCCCTCACACTTGATGTTTCTTCTTAGATTTTTTTGTCTATCAGTTGTGTAGGGTTTTCTGTTACATCTTATGTAGTTAAATTAATGTTTATTGCATTATTATGTGTAAGGATGGTGTTTTGTATGTGTGCATGACACTGTACGCACCTTCTATATATTAGGCTAGTATTTACCTCAGCTTGTGGAACAGCTACTTTTGATGAACTTCTCTTTACCCTGTTTTGTTATGGTGGCTTTTAGTATGTTAGTTACAAGACAGATTTAGTAGATTTAGATTCAAATTTTTTTTTGTACAATTTTAAATAGTAAAATATTTGTACACTGTATTTTTGCCATTTTTTCTGGTAACCACAGCTGTGATATTTTTTCTTTAAAATGACAGGATTTTTTTTTTTTTTTTTTTCACAGTGTATGCTATTCCAAACCTAGCCTAAAGGCACCCCACACACTACAAGATAATCAATCAGGCTGATTTAGGGCTGATTCTCGCCTTCCGACAATCCTACGTAAAGTCCCGATTATCTTGATGGCTCTACAGATTATCTTATCAGTTGTCCTGTGGTGCGATATGTTAAGAGTGATTGAATCTGCTTGGAAGAACCTTTTTCTTTATTTTCAGCTAATTTTCTGTTAAAAGCTGTCCAAACATTATCATGGCATTTCTTCTTGCCCGTCTGTTTGTTTCTACTCTAAAGTCATGTTTCAACATGACAGATTTTGCCAAATTTCCTGTGTTCACAGTCGGGACTCTACTTAGCCCCTAAAGGGACAACATGGTGAAGAAAAAAAAAATAGATGGAAAGAAAAATTATTTGGCTATGCTTTTGCGTTCTCTTCGCAAATGTTTTGCGTTCCCCCTAGAAACTTTGCGTTCACTCGTGTGCGAGCGGACGCAAAGTTTCTCGGGGGAACGCAAAACATTTGCGAGAGAACGCAAAAGCACTGACTTGTTATTATACCTCCCATCTCATATTTTCTTTCCACCACCATGTCCCCTAAGTGTTCCGCAGAACTCTGGTTGTTTGTGAATGGAATATGTTAGTGTGTGGTGTGCTGTCTTGGTCACACTCCAAACACTTTAGGAACAAAACTGTTAAATATATGATTGTTTTTATATTGTTATGTTTAATAACCCTAAACCCATCCTAGGTATGACTTTCTTTTTTCAGACGAGTACAATCGGACTTATATTAAAAAATGTCCTGGCTCTTCCAAGCTTTATAAATGCAGTGAATGGAGGACGACATTTTGAAGCCCAAAAAAGTGCATCCCTCCGTCATAAAAGAACGCCACACGGCTCCAGGGGGTTAATAAAGGCCTCCTGAAGCGAAGCGATGCGTTTGAGTAAGAAAAATAATAATATTTAAAACTTTATAGCAATGATAGCTTCCGACAGACGGCAGTACGCATCGAATAACGGCGAAAGAGTAACCCCTGACCTGACGCACGACGTATTGGCGAATGTGGAAGCGCAGAGGAAAGAGCAAAACAAAACACCAGTCACGAATTAGCCTAGATGTCTAAAACGAGAAATTTTAAAGAGAAATGTCTGAGGATTTTGATATAAGAGATGAGGAGCTTAAGTGTGTTGCCCAGCCTTATTTATTTGAACCAGGAGACGAATCCGAGGTTACGCTACTCATCGCATCAGGGGTTACTCTTTTGGCCTAAGGCGACTTGCGTAGGCCTTCTGCCAGAAGCTAGTTATTTGAGTTTTTAAAGTTTTAAATATGGATATTTTTCTTACAAAACCCCATCGCTTTGCTTCAGAAGGCCTTTGTTAACCTCCTGGAGTCGTATGGATTACTTTTATGACAGATGGATGGATGCACTTTTTGGACTTCAAAATCAGAACTGCCATTCACTACCATTATAAAGCTTGGAAAAGCAATGATTTTTTTTATATAATTCCGATTGTGTTCATCTGACAGAAGATATACACATAGGATCGCTTGATGGTGAGTAAATCATGGGATAATTAAATTTTTTGGGTGAACTATCCCTTTAAGTGTCTTTGGGTGGATGACACCAATACAACGTTATTTACAATGCAATACAATACATTAACTATAAGAACACATAGGCTAATATATATAAAAGTGTATTTAAAAAAAAAAACTTTTAACAATACTTTTAAATGTTTCTTTCACATTTCATTTATAATAATGTAGCTGTTCACTTAAATAGTCATATAGTGAGACAAAACAGATGTAAAAGAAAGAAAGAAAAATATTCCATGTAGTCCCTACAACTACAAGCTCATAAAAACTATGTGCAAGAATTGCACACGAATTAGATAATAATGATTGTAGACGCCGTATAACACGTCACACTGACTGCTGTCACTGCGTGACATGTCATGTCAACTAACCCTGTACAGCTGGAAAAGCATAGTACTTCGTACAAACTTGATAAAAGCTGGCACAACTAAGGAAGTTAGAATCCCCAGTTACAAAATCAATATGTTAAAGCAGAAGGTTAGCCCTGGGATAAATTAGCCTGGATTGAAGGAAACTAGTTAGTTTAGCAGCTCTTATCTTGACTCGAGTAAGATGGCTGGACCCATGTGAAAACAAAACAACTTTCTGCCACCAAACGTCGGTGTGACGTTTACTTAACAATTTTCTCAACTGAAACTAACATCGACATACAAACTCATTTTATAACCCAGATAGATATTTTTCACGTTACTTCCTCGTTGTCCTTTAAGGTCCCGTATGAAATGTAATACTTTCGTTTATTCTAATGGTGAGGGAGTTATGTCATTAGTTAAAGACCTCAATCAAATTAAAGACGTAAAGCCGCGGATTGATATATGCGCGCTCAGACTTTATAACAATCTGTCATTAGAATGTTTCAATGTTACTCTTCTCACAGTTCACACTCACACAGGCTGCAACTATCGCCACTTTCAAATGCAAACCAAAACAACACTTGTTTTTCACTTCAAACATCAAAATAGCGCGCATTTTACCCAAACACAACTATAAACATTAACATATAAACAAATAATCCCGGCAGAAAGCGTATGTAATGATGAAAGAGTAGCGAATGCTTACGGAATTGATGCAATTCTTTTTTCCTTTCCAGCTTCCAGCCAACTTAATTCAGAATGTAATCCAAAAAGAAACTTTTCCCAAAGCTCTCATGTGGATTAAGCGTTTGGTACGATATTTCAGGTCGAAACATTCCTCATTTGGGTGAAAGAAGCATAGTTTTCCTCGATTATATGAATTTTAAAGTTGTAGCGTTTACTCCATCATGGTGGCCATGTTTAAGAGAGACCGAAACACTGCCTGTCACGGCAACGGACAAATAGACCCACTTTAACGTATAAGACAGTGTTACCGTTTTAAACTGCGCACAACTCGTACAGAACATCTATAAACCGAATATATGAGGTGTGATGTGCCAAACATGTAAGTTATTTCTGTTAAAAACTACATGGAGGTATTTTTAAAAAGTCTCACTGACCCTGCGGAGTGATACACTAGGACATACTCAAGGTAAAAAGTCTTCTCAGTCGTCAGCGGTGGGCGGTAAAACGCGGAAGTAGATTCTGGAAATTGAGCTGGATCGAGTCCATGTCGCCTATCAGCATAGAAAAGGCAGTATTACTTATCTCAGACCCTTTGATCAATTCCTATCGCAAAAACAAATATTTTAAGTTCTAAATTGACATTTCTTAAATGCCTGAAAATTAGCCTATGCATGTTAGAACATCACAAAACACCAAATGTTAGAACTAATGTCTTTTTTCTAAGTAAACCCTGCACTTTCTCTGTTTATAGGCTACATATATGGTGTAAATTGCTTTAAATTACAGTTGCATTCTTGACTTTGACATAGAGGCTGTATTTTTCTAATTTCCTTTACTCTGTATCACCCACTATTACACTACATGTGATACACTATTCTAAATGCATACTGTAAGTAAATAATAACAGACAAATAATATAAATAAAATAAATAAAATATTAATAGGGAAAGGGGAAAACAAGACATTTAAATGCAGATTCCACATATTTATTTGGACTTGGTAATGTAAATGCAGCAATAATCATAAACACACTAATATGTCAGCTTTTTATTTTATTTTATTTTTTTACACGACATAGTGTTTTTCTCTTTTATAATGAACATAATTAGCTATTCATGCGTGCTGGCATTTTATTCAGTTTATATTTTCATTATAATTAAAGAACATTCTTATCAGAAATGCAGACAAATTCAACAGATAAATGCACAGTTTTCCATTTACAAATCAGATGATCATTTGAGCTCAAAGTTTAAACTTTTGTTGAACTACAGAAAATAAAACCCAAGATAAAGGAATAAAATGCATAAAAGCAGTGTTTTATAAGTACATCAGTAATTCTCTGTTCTTTTCTCCTAATAAAAAGAGGCTCATTAAAGGTCAAGGATTCTAGGGAAGATGTCCAACGCATTGCAGGTGCAAGAGGAAATGAGCTCCTTTGCTTGAAAGAAGCACCAGTGTTTGAAAGACAGTGTCTCACTGATGCTTTCATCACTCTGCTTCAACACGTTTCCTCTTTCCCTCTCACTGAATGATCCATGCTGTGTGTGTGAGAGACCTAGCGCATGGGACTGGTTTAACAAGTAATACAATTTATTATTTTCAGTAACAAACACTTCAGGGATTTTTAAGCGGTACATTTATGACTGAATCTTTATAGATTAACATTTTCTGCCCCTAAAATGTAATTTCAAAAAGTTAAAAAAAAATAAAGTAAAAGAACGATAACACTATCTATCTAGATAAGTCCTTAAAAACTTCACAACATTTTCAATAACTTCACAAATGATAACAAGAACCTTATTTTGCGCATTTGGGCTGTAGACTGAAAAAACAACAAAAAAACATACCACTATTTAGGATAAATAATGACATTGGGGGTTGCTGCCTAAAATAAACCGAAACATAAGGAATATGGCAAAATATGGAAAGGGTCAGGGCTACTAAATGAATAGCAATAGCCAAAGACAACAATCCAATCAATTCTTGAGGGACAAAATCAAGTCTCGCCCCACATTTTTCTTGTCCAAAAAGCGGTTTCACTTGGATGTCACAATAGGAAAGAAAAGACGATCATAACTTCTGTTTCATGCAGACTTTAATTACACTTAGTCAACTTAAGTCAGCAAAAACTGCAGAAAAAAACAGCAATCAGGCCCTTCGCTTTTGCACAGTATAAAACATTACAAAAACATAGTCAATGTTTTTGTAATGTCAACCCATTCTCTATTTCTGTCAATTTAAGCTACTTTGATGCTGTATAAAGTGTTTCTCCTCAGTTTTTTATAAGTGAAACAACAACCCATTTCTGGCCTAATTATTATTATTTTTTTAGTTGATGAAGTGCTAAAGCTATATGTACATTGTGTGGTATTTGCTCGGTTCAGAGACTTCTTTTTAATGCACTGGTTAATGAGAGGATGTACATGCCCTCAGTTAAATGAGATACTTGTCTCATAATTGGTATGTGAAGGGAAAAATAAACCGTTTAGGAGAGCTTTTTTTTAATCTAAAACAAAGATCATAGAATGACATTAAGGCCCTGTTTTTGGTCGATCGGATCACAAGTTCAAGGGAGATACATTCCCGTTTACACCTCTTTTGTCCACTTTCAACCACTTCTGTCCTGATTTATTCAAGAGGATGGTCTACTTCGAATGCTGTGAGTACGTGTTAGAAATCAAGAATGATATGAAAACATTGTTTTTGGTACGTTTTTCATCTTAAAACCAAATTCAGGTCTTCAACCGACAAAGTTCAAATCCCGCCTGGCTAGCGCACGTCCCATAATATGGACGCATTAAGTCCGTAGGTGGAAAGTATGAGGTCTATTGTGGCTGTTCGAATGCATTCGACCTCATGAGCGTCTACATTATGCCAGTACGGATGCGTCAAATGTGTTTTTGACTACCTCTGGAAGTGGTCGAAAAAGGTATCTTAATACCAGGTGTAAACCAGGGTGTTGCTATGCAGCACTTTGTAACTAAATTGGGTTGCTAGGGTGGTTTCTGAATGGCTGCTTGGAAGCTGCATGATTTGAGATATTCATAGAAAAGGCTCAGAAAGTTTAACACTTAAAGTCACCATGAAATCATAATGGATGATGACTTATTCTTAATGGAATATTGCAGTATTTATTATAAATTGTTTATCTCTGCACATCATTATTTAATATTTTTATTAATATTTTTTCACATTCATGTGTTCTCGAAGTCTTTAATCAAATAACTTCCCCTCCCCTTGCAGCTTCATCTGTTATTTTCTCCGATGACGCGTTTACTGGCACAGGGGCGGGAAAATGACGTCCAGCAAACTGTCACTCACATGAGACAGCAATAGCAAACCAAGATGCAACAATCCAATCAATTCTAATTAACAAAATCAAGTCCCGCCCTACATTTTTTAGAAGAAGCTGTTTCACTTGTCCAAGAAGCTGTCAATAGAGAAGAAAAGACTATTGCAACTTTAATTTAATGCTGACTTTAAGAATAAGGGGTTCCATAACAGTTTTAGAACACTAATGCATCTAACGCATACACTTACAATTAGTACATAGTGATGATTTACTTCGCAAACACTAGCAAATTTAAATTGAGGTCATCCATAAAATAAACTTCCTTAATGAATGGCAAAAATGTATGTTTTATTTTTTTCCAAATAAGGTACAGTAAGGTCTTCATTAGCCATTAATCTAACAACTAAACCATAAATCAAAGTAGTTTTCTGTATTAACGGTCCATACAAATCATGTCTTTGATAGTAGTTTAGAAAAGATTGCACTGATCATTAAACACACTGACAGAAAATAAGTGGACATTTTTAGGACAATTTTCTTTCGCTAAGTAGCCCTCATAATTGTGACAACCCAAAAGTGCAAGTGTCCTGTGCTGAGAGTTTCAGTACATGCTCACTTGTCACATATAAATTTAATACCATCTTCCATGACATGAAATGAGCATCTTTTGACACCTTTGGTCATTATGCTGGTGCATGCTGTGGAGAAAACCAGTTTGTGGTCATTTGACACAGGACTTTTAGTGAACAGCATCCTGTGAGTTACTATTCTCTGCCATGCTCTGCACAAGTAGGGCTTGTCAAAGTCTGTAGCGCTTTCAGCTGACCTCCACCTGTGAGATGATGATAATGATGAAGAGCAGGGCACATCTGACACCCCTGGGTCAGATCCATAGTTCCTCATGATGGCATGAGTGGTGGCGAAAACCACGATGCCGTAGTTTCTGCGGAGTCTGTCCAGCAACTCGGTACACTTTCTTAGGTTAGCCTCCTGACAAACAGTGCTCTCGCCGCCACTGAATCTGTCCACCCAGTAGAACGCAGAGATGCTGTCGATGACCAGCAGGCCGACGGAGGGCTGGCTGGAGAAAGTGTTTTCGAGGTAGTGCAGGGTTAAGAGGAGCTGAACTGAGCTGTTGCAGTGCACTACAGACAGCCTGCGCAGACATGAACGTACCCTCTCCTCTGGTTCATTTTCAGAGCTGTCACTCTCCTTTAAGTCTTCGGCCAAACGTCCCTCCAGAGCGCTCACTAAGCGCAGCATGTCAAAGTGGTAGTCCGTGTCAATGAAGACCACCCCGACCTCCAGACCTCCATTCTGCACTGGCATGATGCAGCGGATGATCAGGTGGTACAAGGTTTCTGTCTTACCTGCGCCCTCCATGCCATGAAACTCCACAACGTCACCTGTACGGATGCAGAAATGAACTGATATTTAAAGACCACATATTATGCTTTTTTAAATTTTAAATTTCTTTTAGTATAGCTGTTTGTGCATGTAAATGTTTTGCAAAGTTACAAAGCAGTCTTAAGATAATAAGATAGTTAATCTCTTCAACAGATAACACTTGGCTGAAAACACCTCGTTTGCAGTCCTGCTCTTATTTCCGTGACTACATCAACATGTTACATATTTGCATAATGAGAACAGTTGGGAAAGTGATTGTTGATGTTGAGGAGACACTGTTTTTTCACTACGAAGGCAAAACATTTATGAACTTCCAATACCGACACCATAGTTACCATAGATGTTTACAGCTGTTCATGAAGCCTCGGAAGCTAAAACCCCATTATGGGAAGGCCGTTAAATTTCCGATATACACTTTGCGGTTGACCAATCACAACAGACTGGGCCAGCTGATCAATTGATTAGTGGAATGGGAAAAAGCAAAGTTATTAGAAGTGAGTTGAACTATTTTTAATTTGAGCGTCACATTTTTTTAGAATCCCGTTTCATGGGTGAGAAGCTTCAAAAGACATAAGACACGGGTGCAACAGTCAAACACGTCCGCCAAACATAAAAACAATAGGAAAAATAGCGCAATGGAATGCAAAAACCTGTAAAGACCTACTGTATGTTTGATGTTTCATCTTGCATGATGGTGACAGGCTGAAAAATGCTGTTATTTTCTGTTTTTACAAAGCATTTGCTGTTAATTATAGCCTATTCCTGCATGGTGTAATTGGTTGCTTTTACTTTTTGGCTAAGAAATATTAAGCAATTTTTATTTTATATTATTTCTGAGTATATAAAATAAGTTTAAGATAAGTTTGTACAATATTTGTCTTCATATTTCAGGCATATTTTCTGCAAAGATATAACAAGTCATTTGTTTTACATTTACACCATTGATCACTTCAGGTGTGGTGCACTTGGAATGTAACTTTTATAAATTTTAACTAGATGGTTAATAAAGAGATTGTTACTTGAATCATATTGTAGTTGTTTTTAAGTTGACTAGCTAAACATTAAAAAAAAAATCTAAATTGGGAATTGGTCAAAATCGCGATTAATTTTTTTTGCCATATCGCCCAGCACTACTTGGCTCTCTCTTGAGGGATGAGTCGAGCATCAGCACTTTGTGGTGAAAAAAAAAGCTCCACAAGCCACAAGTCTAGCTATCTGTGCCACAATGCACATGACCAGTGCATCGGCCGTTCTATGGTTGCTATAGTTGCCATCGGAGGGGCATCGGTGATAAGGAGAAAGGGAGAATTTTTTTCTCAAAGCTTTGATCTCACAGTCTGACCTCTTCTGTCTTCCTGACAAGGCAGTCGAAGAGAAGTTTACAGAGCTGAGGTCTCAGTCAGCAGCTTTCAGGAGATATATTCCTCTCTGGGGGCCTGTGAGGGCTGAAGGTTATCTCCTTAGGGTTGATGCAGGATGAACAGAGTTATGTAGGGCAGTATAGATTCCCTCTACTTCATTTATCTCTCTCCCCAACTTCTGTTGGGTTTTGAATAGAGATGTATGCGCCCCTTTGGATGGGTGCTCTACTATAGCCTTGGTTCGACAATGTTAATATGTAGAGTAAGCTCACCTCCGTGCGTCCCTCCTTGTTATCTATTGCATTATATGTTCTAGTGCTAAAAGAAAGCCCCTGTTTACACCTGGTATTAAGATTCATTTTGGTTGATCGGATTACAAGTAGACGAGGGAGACACATACCCGTTTACACCTGGTGTTTTAATTTACACTACAACAGCAATCCAGTCGAATGTGTTTTCGACAACATCTAGAAATGGTTGAAAGTGGACAAGCTCAAAACGTTTTAGACCCTGTTTACACCTGTACTTAGCGTGGTCCACTTGTGATCCGATAGACCAAAACGCATCTTACTACCAGGTGTAAACAGGGCCAAAAAGATGAAGCTATAGCGGGTCTTAGGTAGAGTGCCTTGACACAATGAGCTGCTCGCCCCCAGTTAAATTGAGGTATTTAAGTAGGGCCTAAGCTCCCATGCGGCTTCCTTGTGGTTTAAAGCCTGGGTGATGAGAGTTACTGGGCAAACTGCATTATGTCCCGCTCTCTTTTGCCTCCCTTTGCCCCTTAAAGGGTCAGAATGTATGCTCCCCCTTGAATGAGTGGCAAATACGAAGGGAGGAGTTAGTCACTGAGGTTTTTAGCAGCTTGCATGCTCCTTGTGTTAGGCTGCTCAAGTACATCTTAAGGTAGAGCAGGGTGAATAGAACAATGATGGGCAATTCACAAGAGTCTGTCTGTTTTGTTTACTCCCTCCCCATTCGTTGTTGGGTCTTGAAGAAGAGATATATGCTCCCCTTTGATTGGGTGCTTCTATAGGGATAATCAGTGTTACAAACTGATGAGTGGAGGTGGATCGCAGATGGCATCCCTCATCATTGTAGCATTATATAGTTTAGCCATTAACTAAAGTTAATCCTGGATAAGTGCTTCTACTCAAGTTATGGTATGAGCTAATCTCCCCTAATCACTCTAGGGTTGTTAAAATTGAGTAAAAGCTCCCCTGCAGTAGGTACTCCCTAAGAGTCTTGTCAAATACTGGTGTGATATGCCTGACATAGCTGAAGCTCTGCTCTTGGGGCTGTTTAAGGCAGAGGCCTGTCCTGTAAAGGAGGGGGGAAGGTGGAACAGGCGTGACTTCCCTTGCTGTAAGCACAGAAGCTTGGGGATCTTGCCTAGAATTAGGGACAATTGGCCTAGGGAGTAGCACCACTACATGAATCACATGGTATGCACCCATGGGATTGACACGCTTCTGACTCCAGCTTCTGACTCCGGCTGGGTAATCCGTAGATTTGTGCATATTCACAGCCAAGTTTGTTTGTTTGTTTGTTTATATTATTTATTAAGCACTTTTACACAACTGACCATTTAACAAAGTGCTGTACAATATCTAAAACACATAAAGACAACCATAAGAACACAACACTAAAACCACAGTTAACAGCGAAAATAAACCCCTAAGTTTTAATAACCTACACAAACAACTACTATACCCCATTAAATGCTAATGCAAGGAGGTATTCCTTAAGCTTGTGTTTAAAAACACTTAATCTGGATGCCGATCTAAGAGAAAAGGGTAGATCCTTCCAGAATTTTGGAGCTATCTCTACAAAAGCTAAATCTCCACTTCTGCGTTTCGTTCTAGGAGTCGTTAAAACCAGCTGGGCAGCTGACCTTAAAGACCGTTTTGGCTCATGTTTCTCAATCAACTTTACCAAATACAATGGAGCCATGCCATGCCATGATTTGTAAACAAAAACCAAAATTTTAAACTTTATTCTATAATCGATCGGTAGCCATTGTAGAAAACTCAAAACTGGAGTAATATGGTCTCTCTTACGAGTACCTGACAAAAGCCTAGCAGCAGCATTTTGGACCAGTTGTAAGCGGTTGATCAATGATTTATTTATGCCGACATATAGTGAGTTGCAGTAATCTAGCCTTGTAAATATAAAAGCATGAATGAGTTTTTCGAGATCACGCGAGGACAAAAATGGTTTCACCTTCGTTATTAATCTCAAGTGATAAAAACAAGACTTAACCACAGAATAAATCTGCTTCTCAAACTTGAGATCACTGTCAAGGAGAACTCCTAAATTTCGCACTAATGGCTTACAGAAGGGGGCTAAACCACCCAGATCAACACAATTATTTGGAACTCCAACCCAAACAACTTCAGTTTTCTCTTCATTTAATTTAAAAAAAATTAAAGATAACCAAGATTTAATGTCCTGTATACAGTCACACAACAACTCTATTAGCTTCTTACTGTTCTTTTTCAGAGGAAGATAGACTTGCATATCTTCTGGATAAAGGTGAAAGGGGATTCCATGCTTTCTAAAAATTGACCCAAGGGGTAAGAGGTACAAAGAAAACAAAATTGGGCCAAGAATGGACCCCTGTGGAGTCCCACTGCCCAAAGAGGCAGGTTGTGAATAATCTTGCCCAATATTTACAGAAAAAGTTCTGTTTAAAAGAAAAGACTTGAACCATGCTAGCGCTATACCGTGAATTCCCACAACATTTTCAAGGCGTGAGAGTAAAATCTCATGGTCAATGGTGTCAAATGCAGCGCTAAGGTCCAGTAAAACAAGAACTGCTGAAGACCCTGAATCCACTGCAATCAGTAAATCATTTAAAACCCTAATCAAAGCAGACTCAGTACTATGGTAAGCCCTAAAACCTGACTGAAAATCTTCAAAGATATCGTTTTGAAACAAAAAGGTGTTAATTTGATTCAAAACCACCTTCTCCAAAACCTTAGATAAAAAAGGTAACTTCGAAATTGGCCGGTAGTTTGATACGACAACAGGGTCCAAATATTTTTTTTTTTTTTTTTTCAAAGAGGCTGGTGTAGAAGGCATTCCCTCAGCTTGGCGTAGTGGTTCCCCATAGCTTAAAAAATGCAGCATCAAAGTTCCACTTCAAAAGGTAATGTCTCAGGTTACGTCTGTAACCCTGATTCCCTGAGAAGGGGAACAAGACGCTGCGTCTCAATGTCATACTTCTGGTTTGCCTGCGTCTCTACTACAGACAAAAGAGTTAATGACGTGTAATTTAGGCGCTTTTATACTCATGGGTGCTCCGCTTGTTACGTCATGGACTGCCGTCTGCGAATGATTATTAGCATTTGTTTACACATGCATCAGACACCTGTCATGCTGATGGCGTTCCCCAAAGCGTCAATACCAAGTAGGGCTATCAAATTAAAATTTGAATTTCAAAAAGCTTTTGGGTTAAATAGTATGTTAACATAAGAACAACTGCTCATCGGTTCACAAGGGGTGGAGCAAGAGGGGACTGTATTATTCCACTCAGAAAGTGTACATTTATTCAGTCTGTATTTTTTGTTAAAGCTGGACGGGAATGGAACTCCATCCCATCAACAATTAGAGGACTGAACACATACGGTTCTTTTAAG